CAGTTTTCTTCCTCACTGAGCACCTCAATTTACTGCAGAAGATGCAATGATGATTAGGATCATGGTGGTGTGGTGGTTAGCATCATCGACTCATATTGAGAGGGTTCTGGGTTCAAGTCCCCGGGAGAACTAAGATCTTGTGGGGACTTTTCTGTGTGGAGTTTCCATGTTGTCCCTGTGTCTCTGTGGGTTCTCCCCGGGTTCTCTGGCTTCCTCCCACCATCCAAAAACCTGCATTTTAGGTTGATTGGACATTATATTATAGGTCAAAGGTCAAGAATGAAATGCTGAATTCACACTGAAACTGATGTAGATGATATGTCCCTAAAGTAGATATTAATAATTAAAGTTTTCACGTCATTATTCTGTGGCAAAGTCCATCTGCTGCTGATGATGACTGTGTTAAACAACTTGATATGATGATAATTTCCCCCTATTTTTTTAATGTCTCCCTTTGCTTCATTTACCCTTTTTCATTGTTCAATTACTGGTTGGTGAAGATTCAAATTGGCTTGATTTTTTTTTTTCTTGTAAATAATTGATTTTCATATTATGGGGTTACATTTATGAGGTCATTTGTCAGCTCCTGCAAAAGGGGTGATCTGTTCTTTGTTCTCTTCAATATTTCAAATGTATAGTGCGCTACAGACTTACAACACAGTGTGACAAAAGTACTGTAAACAGCAATGGATTCAAACTCAATCTCAGTATCTGCAAAGATCTGCTTTTTGATGGCGTTGAGCTAAGTGTTGATATAATAAATATTTTTCCCTCTGCAAAGATAAAAATCACCTCTAAGTAAATGAAGAAATGGACATTCTCAACCAAATCTAAGCTGACGAACACTTTGTAATTGACACCTTATCTCATCTTTGTTCCATGCATGCACAGATTTTGGTTTAGAGCTCTTTTCATGCCGTCCCAGGTTCTTTCACCACTACTTTCTTGTTTTAATAAGGTGTTTTTTTGCCTCTATTAATTGCTTCTTCACCGTCTCTTGATATTTTTAATGCAATTAACGCAGTTGCTGAGAGCAACAAAAATGAGGAAAAGAAAACGGAGAAAACTAATCTGAGGCCAGTGAATTTACTGCACGCTCTAGTCCAAAGCACAGTGCTTTATCTCTGCCAGCGAGAAGTAAAGGCCTGGAATAAAGAAAGTAAATTGGTGCAGGTTAAAGAGAACGTGCCATCAAGTTTAAGAGGTGTTTGTAAAATCACCGAGTAGAAACAAAAGAAAAGACAGCAGAAGCTTTGGTTCAGCTTCAAAGGAGGGAAGTGTAAGAAAAAAAGCGTGGGGTGCATAACTCGAAGGGTTCCTTGCATAACTTTAACTATTGTAGATGAATTTAGGTGAGAGCAGAGAGTTATCATGCCATATTTAGGAGAAAATAAATCCTGGAAAAAGGCCATGTAACTTATTTGCCTAATTTTATCTTACAGTTAAAGACACAGATAGTTATATAACCTGGGGTCAGTGTTATAGCGCCAAGGGGATACATCTATAAGCAACCCAGGAGGGGATAATCTTCTGAAATCTTCTTCTGAAACCGGAGGTATGGTCTGCAGAACATAACTGATCGCTGTCTGTATGTGCAGTCTTGTGATACCAAGAAAAATTAAAGGCCCTGCGTGGAGACTGTCTGCAAATCCCACAGTTTGATAGCCAAACAGGATATATTACATCCATGTCTGCCTGCCATTCTCTACCAGCCTTGTGTTCTGGACTTTTCTTCTTCTCTGAGACTTCTTTTATTAATTTCTTTTCCCTTCACTGTGATTGTGCTCTGCAAGCACATATATGAAACTTCCCTGTCAATTCAAACAATCTTAAAAAGTTAGATATTAACCAAAGTCACTGAGCGTCCTAGATCCTGCTGGTAACAAACTGTATCTTCTTTCAGCTTCCCGCCAAACTCATAAAATACTTTTTTAGCTCAGTGTTTAACCAAGTCCAGACATCCAATGCACTGTACATGTCTGCCTCTATATGTGCATTTATTACCGATAGGGTGAGATGTAAAGGAAGAGAGAGCAAGGCAGAGAGAAAAGTTAGCGACAGAGGCAGTAATGAGTACTCCAATGGAGAGCGATAAGAGGGAGAGTTGGTCTGCATAATGAGTCCTCCAGCATGGAGGTGGTGAGCGGGAGGGATGGAAAGAGGAGGGATGGATGAACAGAACTATTCCAGTGGAGAACAGAGAAAGCAGCAGAGATGGATTGGATCACAAAGACCGGCCTGTATAATGAGCGTACCGGGGACAGCTAGTAAAGAGACTCAGAGGGTGAACACCATACAAATTGAAGGTGAAAAATAAAGATAGGAATAAAAATGCACAAAAAAAATCCATTATCATTCAAATCTGAACATGCCTTCAAGTTTTTGTATGCAAGCTCCTTTTATACAGTATTATGACAAACTCAAAATGCCTCAATATCACACAGTTGCTTGACTTTACAAATCATAACTGGTTTCTTTTTCCATATTTTGAAAAAATTTTCTCTGCATGAACTCTTTTGTTTCCGTGTCAGGAGGAGTATTACAGCGAGAAATAACTTTCTATCCTCCCTTTATAACGCAAAAAAGTAAAGAATAATTCAATTGAGTAAAATTAAGTAAATTCATTATTCACTGCCTTAATCTTAACTTCCAGTAAATAATAAATATTTTAGAATTTACCATACATACTGTGTGACACCTTTGTTCTTAAAAGCCATAGTAATTTCTTTTGCAAATCTGTTCGAACTTTCATTTCCTAATATACAGATTTCTGTTTTCAATTGGCTTTAAAAGTTAATAAAAGGTGTTGCTTTGCAAGTCTAGCAAAAGTGAGAATATTTGTGACAGTTTGACTGAATATGTACTATAAAGAGAACATACACAGGGATATATGTGGCCATTTTGTGCTTGTTTCATAGCAGTACTTATTGTGTGAATCTGAAGACTTCCAGGACAACTTTCAGCACAATGTGTGTGCGACTGATGTGCAGCAAACCCAGATATTCACCAAACTGACTTTCACAGGCTCTCTTAGTCACATGGAATGTGTCACATAGATAGATGAGACTAAGATGAGACTAAGCTGCCAGGATCCCAGTGGTGCTTTAAGAATCGAACTGCGGGGTACAATGCCATGTGCTGCTTTGTGTGTTTGTTCCCAGAAGCTGTCATAATATGATCAGCAGTGGGTGGCATCAGAGGAAACCAACATATCTGCAGACACCAATATCCTTCAAAGAAGAGCATGGAAAAGAAAAGAAAAAGAAAGAATCAACAACAACACATGTATATGTGCAGGCAATTTCAATGTGGACATGCCAAATTACCAAAACACATCTTTTCTCCCACTTCATTTATTTGTTGAAATATAGTTAAACAAAAAAAAAAGAAAAAGAAAAAAACTAAAACAGATGAAAGGAAGCAGCATGCAGATAGACATAAGAAATGGAAAAATGGGTTATTCTAGAACACCCTTTAACTAATAACAAATTACATAAACATTCTGTTAGGGATGAAGTTGTATATGATGAGATCCAGGTACACACGCCTATCTATTTTTTCCTGAAAGTCCCATGTCCGTATGTCTGTTTGCCATAAAAACAATTCAGCCATGCAGCACCTAAATGTTTTAGGTGAAACTTACAGAGGTGTGTATCTAGGCCATGTCTTGTAAACACACACCTGATCACACGCAGGTCCACTATAACTGAGCTCCTCCATCAACTTAAGGGGAGAAAACTGCCTCATTTGTGCTTTCTGTGAGGTTAATGTGCCAATTTTGCTTCTCAAGTGTGGGAAAACAGATTGATGTTTAGACTTTGAGGAGCTTGGAGATTCCTTCTAATATGGTGCGAGATTGGTTAAGGCACAATTAGAAAAGGCTTTATGCAGACAGAGACCTCTTCCAAGTCACAAAGCACCTTTTCTTCAGGTTTATTTGTGTATATTTTCTCTAATTTACCTTGCTGTACATTTCTACATGACAAGTTTAGCTGTGATTATGAAATAGGTAACAGATATACTGCAGTAAAAAAAGATTTAATGTCCACCCATTGTTGTTTGGAGATTGGAGAAAATACTTTTAGCTTTTTCACAGCTATTGCCCTTGTGCCATCATCAAGATAAGCTTGATTCAGGATCTGTTATGGTTGGAATAAATGACAGAAATGGGATTCTATCAACCCTATATGCCATATGGATAATTTTTTGCACATATGCTTTCTGAAATGTTTTGCATCTAAGACCTTTTGCATAATTTAATGCTAAACACTTTGCTCAAAACGCCATTGTACACAATCAGATATACCTGATAATAGCGAGCAGAAGAATACACAACAATAATTTGACTTATTTTACCGTAATAAATCGCTGTTTTTCATATTTTGTTGAAGGGCCAAACAAAGACTTTGAAAAATATTTTTTTTCTAGGATTAGGTTTTAAAAGGTTAACTACATGCTACAACTAGAAAATAGGAAAAGAGCTCTATGGAAGTATTTTATTAGGCTTTTGAAAATGTGTCACAAAAGAGCTTTAACACACCGATGTGGAAAGAAGCGAAAATACTTATCAAGCTAAAATGAAATGGTTAGGCTTCATTTAATTATAGCTAAACATAAATGCACAATGAAATTTATTTTTGCACACATTTAAAGTAACTAATTTAAGTGGAGGTGAGGCTGCATAATCAATGCCAAAATGGCTGAATCACATAATATTTTTTAAATAAATTACTATTTTACAAGCCACACATTTGGTGTTCAGAACCATAGGTTTGCTCCCCCCGGATTAAAAGTGAAGATTCATTTTTAAATTTTGTTTATTGCTTTTATTACGTATCTAATGAATAGACTATCAGGTAACAAATGAACATGTAGCAATATTTATGAAGGTAGCATACCCTGTTGCAGATCTGTTACACTTTTAGGACTGAAAGAAATCCTGAAACAGGGAGAAGAAAATTACAGGATATGGTTTTCTTTGCTTCAGGCTTTCTTTGCAGTCTCACAGAGTCTGTTTACCAGCAACAGGTAAATCATTTGTTGCCCAGTGGCCATGTTGCTGTCAGAGAGTTCAAGGTGTATCATTTTAGAGGATCCAAATGTGGAAGAAGAGCAATGAATAATTAAAGCAGTTAAACAAGACATAAAAAAATAAAAGAAATAAACGGCTGAGCCCCAAACACAGGCAGCACTATGAGAAGCGAGGATCCGACAGGGGTGGAACAAACCTAAGGAGCTTAAATGCAGGCGGGAGAGTTGAGAAAGTGAGTGCAGGTTTGAATGATTAACAGTAGGTTATTTTGGAGGGGAGCCAGGGGAAAAAACTAACACAGACAAAGAGGACTTCAGATGAACTCACCTGACTGAATTCATGCATCAAGTCTTTCAATCAATGGCCAAATTCAAAGAAATAATTAAATGAGGGAAAAGAAAAGGGACAAAAAACAAAACAAGATAATTATAAAGGCAATCCTTAGAATAAAAGAAACCAAAAAACAACAACAGAGTTCAGCAAAATACCAATGAAGAACACTGAACCCAATCAAAGAACAAATATATATATATATATATATATATATATAGGAGTAATGAGTCAGAACAGACACATGCAGATCATGTCATTTACCTCTGAGCCCAATCAACACGTCACATAAGAACTAAAAAAAGCTTAAAAATGATGTAAAAATAGTTTACCTGTACTATTTAAATTTTCCTGACAACCTACTGTGTTAACGTATTGTATTTTCACCACAATTGTGAAGTCCACAGTCAGCGTGTGGACAGCAGAAGTCAAACTGTCAGTTTGTCAGCTATCCACTCATCCATACAGACCCTGTACCTTATCCTCCACCTCACCTTAATCAGCTTTTTTTTTTCAACACAAACAATCCCCTTCAAACTGTTAAGACACGCAGCAAGTTACACAGGCTGTCGTTTGGAGAGAATTCCCCTCTAATCAGACAGCGAGCAGAAATGGAGATTCTGCGACGGAGACACCGGGATGAAAGTGGAAGAAGGCTCCTGTAGGCTTCGGTGTGGAGTTACATAAGAGCCTCGATGGGATGGTGGAGAGAAACAGGTGCAATAGAGCAAGAATGAATATCGGGAGTTTGATTTGAAAAGGGATTCTGGAACGTGATGGAAGGATAACAGGCAAAAAGTAGAAACTTAGTAGAACCGCGTGCAAAAAGTTGAGGTGACGGCAAGAAGTTAAGAATTGAAGAGAAGGGTTGTGATAAATTAGAAAACATTATGGTAAATGACCCCAGAGAGGGAGTAGTATGTTTGATTTATTTGACACGAAAATAACAAATATCTGCTTATTACGTTAAAAAAAAAACTCAAGGGACTACAGGACAGAAATGGAATTGGATTCCTGACATGTCATTGATGTTTATTCTAACGCAGCAGTTTAAGCAGGTGGATTAATACAATTTATTCATAATGTGTGTCCAACCAATTGGTTATTTGATACTCAGATTCACCCTCAATTGACATAAAATAATGTCTTTGCCTATGCAGCTGTTTTCTACTTACACCGCTTCAAAACATCAGACTGTAGCTTTTGGAAAATGACACCCTGAGTAGATATTTTTCTTTCTCTAGGTTTTTTTATTGCTGGTTGTTAACCTAACTTAGGAGAGCATTGATTAATCACCTTCCGTTTTCTGGTAGCGGTTCTTGACCAGCCAACAAGCGTAAACGTTTAGTTTTTACCTGAAATGTAAATTAAGCGGTGTACCTTCTTAATCGTTTACAAATCATTTATAGCTCTTCATATGCATAAAGAAACAAACTCAAATCACTGGATCAAATCGTTATGATATAGCATTGGTTGTAATGGTGATCCTAAAAAGGTGTGAGAGCTCTAGTGAGTGAGCTTTATTATTGTTAATTGTTCTTCTTTATACATGATATTATTTTCATTTTATTCATTTTTAACTCTGTTGATTTTTCTTTTTCTTTTCTTTTTTTGTCTTTGCTGTTCTCCTCCTCAAGTACATCCTATAGATCTTCCACTTCTCCTCTTGTCACCAAAAGTCTTAGCTGTTGGCGGGCAGGAGGGGGGAGGAACAGGGGAGGATAAAACCCGGCTCTATCTCATGGTAAAACGAGGGGGCGGTAAAGGAGTGACTGAGCTTGCCCGGCTGATTGAAGACTTCTGACTTCAGCCGGGATGAGAACAGGCAGGAGAATGGTGCCGCAGTTTCATAACAATCAGAGAAGACTCCCCTGTGCCTTTTAGAGATTCAACAGATGGTATGGGATATGCAGAATGATTCATGGAGAGCAATTCTTTTTAGTTTGAAAACTTTGCCATAAAAAATGACTTTTATTGCCTTCTACCCTCATGGAAAAAGTTAAGGAATATCTAATCAGCTCGTAGCAAGAATTATACTCCAAAAGCTAGCAACTTGAGCAAATGCAAGGAGCAGACTGTGTTTTATTAACAAATTGGACCATTAGGTGGCAACTCAGGAGCGTTTTTTTGCCGGAAGGAGCTGGAGTGTGGTTGACAAGTGAGTAGCTGCAGACGGTTGAGGGCCGGGAAAGCCGAGCAGGTTCAGATGAGTGGAGCGGAGAGCGTGACAGGCAGGGTGATTGAGTTTTGTGACTGGAAAGTGAAATAGCACGGAGCTGTGAGAAGCACACAGACTTCAGGAAATTCGTGGATATCAGGCATGTGGAAAAAAAATATCTGACAGGGCAAACAGGAAAAAACAAAACAAAAAACTATGTAATACCGGAACTTAACGAGCGGGGGTAGGTGCATGTTTGCAGAGTAATTGGCAAACGGATATAAGTAAAATGTCGTAACCTGACTGAATCACAGAAATATTGAGAAAAAGGAAAGAGAGAGATACAACTGGGAAAATGATGGACTCCTTGTCAAATATGTTTTCTCTATAAACATTTTATACTAAACACACTTAATATAAACAGCTCTGTTTTATGCACAGGAGCCAGGAAAATACCATTTAAAGTTTGTAATCTGCAAGCTAGTGACAGATAAAAATATGCATTTACCAATGTTTATAAAATGTATCTTAAGGAAAGGGACATCTTTTTGGTGTATAGACTTTTTGCTGAACTGCTCAGCACTTTTTTTTTTAGATGTCACCCTTTTATCTTTGTGTTTTCTCAAGATTTAGCCTGTTTTTGTCATGATAAGAGTGGGATCATTTAAAAGAGGGTAAAAAACCTGCAGAGAGAATCTTATATCATTCCACATCACGCCACAACATCCTGAAAGATATCAGAGAGGGTTTATGTGCAAATACAGGTACTTTCTTTAACAATGTGTCACTAAGATGTTTTCCCATGCTTAGTATCTTTAATGCCAAATTAAGCAATTCAACAACAGATATGAGAAATTCAAAATTTTGATCAAAATTAAAGTCACATGCTCAGAAGCTCGGTCTGTCCTTCCCCCCAATCTCTTTACTTGATCTGTGTATCTTGCTGATATCCCCATATTTCAGAATAGCTGTAGGATCAACTTTTACGTCTCATACTGGATAAATAACAAGGTAGAACCTTGGAGCAGTTGCTTTGAGAACTTGATGGCATCTTGGCTAAATGTGAGAAGTTTAAACTTGACGTCGTTCTAAATTGAGGTAGAAAAAAAAAGTCCTGTGATTTTCCACCTCCTACCCTAAAGACTTTTTGAGCACCTTGTTCAGTCCAGATACACGTTTAGTGCGTTTTCTGCCGGAAGCTAATATTTCTGTGACGGGACAGCTTTGCAGGCGTCTCCTGGACCTCCCCGGGCTTTGAAAGAATGATAGTATTTGAAGCGTTGGTGTGAGAATGTTGCTAGCAGTGCTATGCTTTGGGCAAGTCATCTGATCATGAATATTCAACCAACCAGACTAACTAGACCCCCCAAAAAAGTTGTGATCATCATGTCTGAAAAATGAAAAAAACATGGACACTGACAGAAAAGAGGCTACCATGTAAACTGGATCTAAGTTTCCTCCACGGTTCCCTATTTTGAGTCACCAATAGGATGTGATAGTCTAACCGGCACTTCAATTCTTTCCCCATTAAGCCATCACCCTGTTTGTTTTGTCATTTGGATGTAACCTCCATATTGCATTTGAGATGAGTCAGCCTTCGCCGTTGAACGAGGTTCTAAAGTCTTCGCTGGGTTGTTCCCATTGACTGAGTTCCAAAGAGCTGACCGTTGAAGCAGAAACCAGCTTTTCCGTGGTAGCACGACAAATTAGGAGACTCAATCGGGCCAGGGAGGAGGAGAGCATGGCTGAGAGAGGAGAGGAGGAGCCAGGTTTGAGCTGTTATCATGCAGCAACACCTGGACTGAAGATGGACAGGAAGGGACAGAGACATCAGTCAAATACCCACAATGAAGCGGATACACACACGCAAACACACTTTGGAAATAAACTCAAGCTGTTCAGTGGAAACCCCTTTATAATGCAAACTGTATTTATTTATTTATCCATTTTTCTGCCACAGATAAAGGTCATTGTGGATGTTGTGTCATAGCCTATCTGTTTTTTTCTTAAATTAGCTCCCTCCATCTTTCTCCTGTCGCCATCCGTCTTCCTCTGTAAGCGATTTCTTACCTCGACATATATGTAATGTTCTGACAATACAGTTTTCACTTTTTTTTTTCGTACAGCTTCTGATGTCTTTCATTTCTGTCTGCATTTGTAATTGGTTATTTAATCTATCCTTTATGGTACCCACTTTGTTTGGCTTGATAATGTTTCTGATATTAGCCCCAGAAGCCTATATTAAAATCTTTTTGTCTATATAAATGACAAGATTTCAGATAGATAAATATCAGTTGGTAAAATGTAACAGGGTTTACCTGTCTTAAAATTAGGACTCCTTGTTTTTATCCGTTGTTATCCATATTATTGCTTTACATTTTCACCATTGGTGATTGTTTTCCATTGTTTTTACCGTTGAATATTTGCTTTATCCACTCTTCTTTACTTTTTACAACCAGCTCTTCTAGCGTACTTGTATCTTTCAGAGTAACTGAGACCAGTCCCTATATCAGCTCCTGCATCCACAGCGGTTTACACTGATTGTGTGAGAATGTGTTGGTGTGTTAGCCATGTCCCGGAAAGCACCATTTTCTGTGGA